CTCTGAGTAAATATTTTTGAGAGAGAGAGCTATACAGAGATATATATATAGATAGATTCATTCACTATATATATATATATATATATATATATATATATATATATATATATATATATATATATATATATATATATATATATATATATATATATATATATTGTGTAAAAACCATGCTATGCATTTTGATATATAAATTGCTCAGCATAAATAAGTACATCCTATTTTTATTCATTCATTTTCCTTCGGCTTAGTCCCTTTATTAATCTTGGGTCGCCACAGCGGAATGACCCACCAATTTATCCAGCATATGTTTTAGTCACTGAACTACTCTTATTTTGCCTCTTTTATGTACTTTTTTCCCTGCCATATAAATTATATAAATTTATATATAAGTTTTGCATAATTTTATGCATCCTTACTAAATTAAATAACTAATTTCTTTCAAAAACAAACATACTTATTACCCAGTCTAAAAACAGCTACATTTTATTTAATTGTTCAATACAGTCAGCTACATACAGTCAGTGGTGTAAAGCAACACATTACAAATACTCAACCAACAGTAATAGAGTAGTTTTTCTCATTGTAATTCACTAAGCATTTTAATAATGTGTACTTTTACTTTCCCTTGAGTACATGTTTAGTGCAGTATTGGTACTTTTACTCCACTACTTTCCTTCAACCCGCAGTCACTACTTTATTTTTTCGTGTCTATGGGGATTAGAAAAATGAGTCCTGCAATTCCTGTCCAATTAAATCGCCCAGAGAAGGTAAAACGCATCGAGATGAACCACCTCAAGACATGGGCGTTTCATAATTGCAGCAAACTGGAAGCATTAAAAGTGTCCAAGAAGATCTTTACCTGCATTGACCCAGAGACTGTTTACATGCATATCACTGATGAGAAGATGACGGATGTTTACTGTATGCTGGCTGAAATAGGCATGAGCCGGTATAAGATTCTGACGGTATGATAACCTTGGATAAAAAATGCTGCTCTCAAATATATTCTTTTAAAATGTCTGGGTAAAAAAAACAACAACTTTTTTTCCCTTTTCAACACAATATATTTCATTTTAAGAGACATTAAATATATTTTGGAGCAGTAAACATGTAAGGCTAAATAATTCAGATAAATTATTGTCTTCTGCTGTCTTCATTTATTTCAAAAGCAGATTTTTTTTTCTTTTTACAATTTAAAATGGCATCTTTAGATATCTTTTCTGCTGGAGATACTGTTGCCCTAAAAAACGTAAAATAAAACAAACCTGTCTCTGTTGTTACTGATGCTGTAACAATAAACCGCTTTGCCTAAAGACTTCGGAGATCTCAGACTTTTTTGAGAACTTTGACTTAGACACTTAGAATATTTTGCAGACCAGAAACTTTTTTCCACAACATATTCAGCATATATGAGAACACCCCCCGCAAATCTCTCATTTAAATATGCTATATGTCATTTAATATGCATTAGTTTAGTCAGTACTGAAGCCAAATCTGGAGCTAATTGAACAAAATAAGTCCAAAATGAGTACATCCAAATTTATATGTTAGAGAAAAATATTAAATGATTGTTTTAAAAAAAATAGCAAAAATTTAAAGAAACAAAAAATATGTACAATTTAGTTGACATTGTCGTTTGTAATTTTTTTTTTTTTTGCAATATTTTGCATGAACCTAAATCTATTATCTTTTGCATTTCTAAAGATATTCTGTAACTAACATATTATTTAATCATTATATCTGTTTAATAAATCTGTTTTGTTTAAATGCACCAGTATATATTACCCATAATTACTGAGAAATGGATAAAAAAAATATTCATTTTCAAAATATACTGTATGCTGAGCACTGTATTTTGATATGATTTCCCATTTAACCCTGCTGAAAAATCCAGCTTAAACCAGCCTAGGCTGGTTTCCAGCCATTTCCAGCCTGGTCTTAGCTGGTCAGGCTGGAAAATGACCAGCTAAATCCAGCTAAAACCAGCTTGACCAGCCTGGTTTAAGCTGGACATAGCTGGTTTTGGCTGGGCTCCCAGCCTGGCTAGGCTGGTCAAGCTGGTTTTAGCTGATCATCTCCCAGCCTGACCAGCACAATATGAGCGTCTGCATGTGTGTGAACAGTGCCTACCTGACAGAGCAGCTTCTCATTACTTCGACAAACCATCATTACTGTCTGTCATATTCCTGCAGGTTGCTGGATTTCAACTCTGAAAGCTGGTGTGTGTGTAGCGGATGATAATAAGTGTGAATCTGCTTGTTTTGAGTCAGCACATTCACAAGGAAACGCGTGACAACCTCAATGATTCCCGCTCCGCTGACTGAGGAGAAATACTGTGCGTTTGTTATAGACAGAAAGTGAACACACACACTTTTCCATTTGGGTTTTTGTCTCTTTTCTGACACAGGTAACCGTCCGAGGCCTGTTAATTACACACACCGCTGGATAACACTGATGTAGTTCGCCGTTCCTCAAGTCTGCCATTAAAGTTAATGACATTGGAATGAAAAGCCGAGTGTAATGTAGCTTCACCACAGTATGGATTCGCTCTGATTTAACCATGGAACAAATAAATGAATAGACGAGTCTGTCTAAACTAAAACTCTTTTCACTGACTTTTAATGCAGAAACCAGCGATCTTCTGACCAGCAGGTGGCGCGCGTCTATTATTAAAAGCGAAACCTGCTGTTTAGTTTAGAACACATAATGGCACATACATATATTAATATAAAATAATAACAGTGTGTTAAACCAGTGTTAATAAAAAAAGTATATGTGCTAAGGAGTGGAAAATAGATGTTGCTTAACAATGAAATTAAAAATGAGTTGATTTCTACATCTACATTCTACATGTTTGGTTGTAAACCTGAAGTTATTTTCAAGTCTGAACTCATAAACTAGGGTGGTAGTTTGACAGGGGATATTTTTGACAAAGGGGTTTTAATATTATATTTTACACTTATACATTTAGCAAACCTTAAAGGAACTTACAAAACAGAAAAAAATAAAAAATTTCATAAATTCATTCATTTCCTTTTCGGCTTAGTCCCTTTATTAATCTGGGGTCGCCACACATCCAGCATATGTTTTACGCAGCAGATGCCCTTCCTGCAACCCATCTCTGGGAAACATCCATACACACTCATTTACACACCTACACTAGGGCCAATTTAGCTTATACAATCCCCCCATACTGCATATGTTTGAACTGTGGGGGAAACCAGAGGAAACCCAGGCCAACATAGGGAGAACATTCAAACTCCACACAGGAATGGCCCAGCCGATGCTTAAACCATTTTGCTGTGAGGTACACACGTATATATACACACGTATATATATATATACACACACACACACACACACACACACACACACACACACACACACACACACACACACACACACACACATATATATATATATACATATATATATATATATATATATATATATATATATATATATATATATATATATATATATATATATATATATATATATATATATATATATATATATATATATATATATATATATATATATATATATATATATATATATATATATATATATATATATATATATATATATATATATATATATATATATATATATATATATATATATATATATATATATATATATATATATATATATATATATATATATATATATATATATATATATATATATATATATATATATATATATATATATATATATATATATATATATATATATATATATATATATATATATATATATATATATATATATATATATATATATATATATATATATATATATATATATATATATATATATATATATATATATATATATATATATATATATATATATATATATATATATATATACACACACATATATATATATATATATATATATATATATATATATATATATATATATATATATATATATATATATATATATATATATATATATGTATATATATATATATGTGTGTGTGTGTGTGTGTGTGTGTGTGTGTGTGTGTGTGTGTGTGTGTGTGTGTGTGTATATATATATATACGTGTGTATATATACGTGTGTACCTCACAGCAAAATGGTTTAAGCATCGGCTGGGCCATTCCTGTGTGGAGTTTGAATGTTCTCCCTATGTTGGCCTGGGTTTCCTCTGGTTTCCCCCACAGTTCAAACATATGCAGTATGGGGGGATTGTATAAGCTAAATTGGCCCTAGTGTAGGTGTGTAAAT